GGTAACACTTTACAATAAGGTTCCATTAGTTAATATTAGTTAATGTATTAGCTAACACAAACGAACAATGAACAATACATTTATTACAGTATTATTACAGTATATTAATCTTTCTTTGTTAGTTTTAATCATAATACAGTTGTTCACTGTTAGTTCATGTTAATTCAGAGTGCATTAACTGTTAACAAGCACAACTGTTGATTTTAATAATGCATTAGTAAATGTTGAAATTAACATTAAGATTAATCAATGCTGAAGAACTATTGTTCATTCTTAGTTCATGTTAACTAAAGTAGTTAACTAATGTTAACTAATAAACCTTATTGTAAAGTGTTACCAATATTAATATAAAATCTGTCCAGTTTTATTATGTTACTTTCAGTAAAAGTGTGGTTATTTTATTGGCTTGTGTTTTTAAATTTAGTATCATTAAAAATATTGAGTTAAATTAAAAAGTCTTACAAAATTACTATATTATTTCATAAAATAATAAATAATTATTACAAAGCATTTTCGGTTTCGGTTTTTGGCCAAGTGCATCCAAAATTTTCGGTTTCGGCCCAGAATTTTTATTTCGGTGCATCCTTAAAAATTAGACATAAAACATACCCTTGGGTTACCAACTTATATCTTTAACTGCTATGTTACCAGTGCAACTCATCAGTCACAAGGTTCTCATTTATAATCCTGTCTGCATGTTTCAGATTATATACAGCTCAGTCTAGAATTTAAAGGGCACCTATTATGCCCCTTTTTACGAGATGTAATATTGATCTTGGGTGTCCCCAGAATGTGTCTGGAGTTTCAGCCCAAAATACCCAACAGATCATTTATTATAACAGCTGGAAAATGTCATTTTTGGGGTGTTTCTAAAAAAAGAGCTGATGTGGAGTGTATGGCTTTAAATGCAAATGAGCTGCATATTCCCGCCCCGTCTCCAGAAGAGGGCGTCGCGTATACATCTCTCTGCATTGCATATCTACAGCAATAAACAGCCGGTAGAATCAACATGACTGAGAGCGAGAGAACCGGTGTTCAGCCATACATATGGGAAGCCAAATGCACTGAAAGTGGGACGAAACAGCGCGATGTTACAGAGCAGCGCAACCGCGCTACCGAACAAATCTGGCGCTACGAACGGCGCGAACTAATCTCACAAGCGCGGCGCTGATCAGTTCAAAAATACTTAATGTACACACAATACGGTTAAAACGCTAAGCACTGTAACGACATGACATTCACAAAGGGGTCTGGAGTGATACACGTATTTAGGTAGATTTTGAGGCGCATTACCTTGAAAAATGAAAGTAATCCACTGTGTCCTCAGCAGCTCAGATGTTGGGAGAAAATGAAGACTCTTATGTTCAGTCTTACATCCAAACACAGAGCATCGGGATTGCTTGCAAGACATTGTTGATGGTACAGCTGCTCGAGCGTGGAGAAAATGGAGAACAGCGTAGAACCACTGAGGGTGGAAACTATAGCAATGCAGAGCTGTCAATCAACCCCCGTGGCCCAGCCCTGTGCAATGTGACATCACACTGCACGAGAATCAAAACGGCAGGCCTAGTGAGACTGACTTGGTATAAAGGGGATTAAAAAATGAGGAGTGGGTGGATTTTTATCATTGTAGGGTGGTTGTGTTGTGGTTGTGTCCAAACACCATGTAAAAGTGGATTTTGCATAATAGGTGCCCTTTAAGTGTCCTATATGTGGGGAGTCCGTAGCAGTTTTGGTTCGACTACCTGTGCAACAAAGCTTTTTGGAAGTGTTATATTTTAATATGGCAGTGCTTATGGGTCGTTTCAGATGGAGCACAATCTGTGTGACTCCACCACCAGAGGCAGGGTAAGATCATGAGCCTTGCTTTTCCTTTGGGTGTGTATGTTTACAGATTGGCTCCAACGCATTGCCAGTTATAGTAGTGAAAGGCGTTGGCTGCTCTTTTGTAGTTGAACATATAATTGTGTACTTTTGATATAAGCAGTCAGTGGTTGCCTAAATTTAGTGTTTTCTTTCTTTCTTTTTTTTTAAAAGACTCAAGTTTACAAGCTTCACTCCACAGAAATGAGCAGAAACCTGAAGTCGGCTTTACAGTTCAACAAAATCCTTGATTGTGCAGAGTTGAACAAAAATGGCCAAATGCATTCTTGTGGTGGGAAACCCATTATGCTTTATGCCTGCCAGTTTTGGCATAAAACAATAAGTAGTTATTTTCAGTCTTACCAGTGTGGTAACCAAAGAGGAGGTGCTTTTTCTTGCTCATAAACTGCATTAAAAATAACTTGAATAAACATTTTGCACATGAACGTTAAAGAGAGTGTATTTTTTTTTTGTATGACCAGTGTAATCAGGTTCACTAACAAATTACTCGTTTTAGCATGTTCTGTTTAATTAAATGGTCAAAAAACTCAAAAATCAGCTCTCTCGAAAGTACAGAATTAGTGGTTAATGGATTGTCACAATCTTAACCAAAAAATGTTATTTCCCTAGGTTTTCCATCTTTAAGGAAGAGCCCTTGCTTTACTTCAAAGCTTCTCATTATGTATGGCAGGTAACTAGGTTCTATTGAGACCATGTCAGTTAACTGCTCCTGTGGATTGAGGTTATAGAGCTTCACTTCAAAGGTTTTTTTTTTGGTGTTTTGGTCACTCATTGCTGTGACAGCTTCATAATAAGGATGAGTGATGGATCGTCACTGTGACTCCACATCGTGGGTGTATCCAGTGTCTGCGTTCTAGGTCCCATTCTACCCCAATGCCCCCACTGTCTTGAACTCTGACCTCGCCGAACTGGGCATACAAACACTGATTCACCTTTAGGCGGGCACTGTGGGTTTCTCTGACGTTCCTGTAGTCTGGTTAAATTGTTTTGTCATTACTGGGAAAGATTCTGAAAATACAAAATGGAAGCTGGTGTGTAGATAGACATGTAGATTGAATAATGAAACATAATATTATCATGTAGCATTGAAAAGAATTTAGGCCACAAGTGAGATGGGCGATGTAGCATGTTTTTGTATCTTCTCACAGCATTCATTTCATATATCTCAATGCTTTTGTATTTATTCTGAAATTGCAAATTGTTTCATAATATTATTATAACAAATCCCCCATGGTAGATTACAAATTTTTGAGCAAAACTTGAAAAAAATCCCTTTCAGCAGATGTTTTTTGAAGATTAATAGTTTTTTAAAAATTGCAAAAATATATTTTACAAAGCATTTACATGCACTGTGAAACATGCCACACTGAGATGTCTTCATTTTGACGGATAAAGCAAACAGTTTATTGTATCAGGGTTTTGAAGTATTGGCTAATGGTCTGTGACAGAATAGTCTCTCTTGAGGGCCACAATTGCTGAAGATCAAAGACCCAAAGATCACTATTGAGTGGTCTATTATTTTCCATCCTCCTGCCAGTTTAACGCCTCCTGAGCTGGCTAGTGAGGTCAGGCAGAGGTCAGAGGTTAATGAAGTGCCCTTTTTTGTTCACAGGAAGAGACAGTGTTATTTAGTCCTGTATCTCCTAGTAAGCTAACAGGAATCTCCAGAGGTCCTCAGACCTTCTTATCAGTCTGGATTCCAGACTCCCTCTGGGGCTCTCATGTGAAGGACCAATGAAACTGCCTAGCAGCGACTCAAAACTTGAACCTAAAAGTTAAAGTGAGCAGTTTGTCATTTCTGCACTGCTGGTGGCATTTTCCATAGCAACTACCTAGCAAGGACTACATAAACTTCAGACTCCTCTCTTCAAACTGTCCAGTTTTCTAGTTACAGGTTGTTGTGCAATTCAAGTGAATATGCCAGTGTTTCTGTACATTGGACCTGATGGTTCATACATGCTGATGAGAGTTTATTCGAGAGCACTGTAACCTCACACGATTATATAGACACATTCCGCAGCGTCCAGTGAATGAACAAACAGCCCTCTCATTTGCTTCATCTGACACATCAGCTATGAGCTTCTAGTAGAAGAGTGAAGCTGGAGAAGGGAATTCATACTGAATCGATTGAGGCTGACAGCCATGCTGCTGTGATGTAAATATATATATATATATATATATAAGCCCCAGCATCTTGATTGTCTTCATGTGAAGCTGACGTTTGTGTTCTGTGTTCTTTCTCTTGTGTCGTAGAGTTACTGGGCTCCACAAAGAGGCTGAACATCAACTATCAGGATCCAGACGGGTGAGTCATTGTTGTGTTGTGGGTGAATCTCATAAGAAATCAGGTCAATAACATAATAGCATAATAATCAGGTCAAAACACAGACATTCTGAAGTGTGCAGCCAGTCAACACTTTCCCATAAGGTCACAAGAACTGAGAAGTCATCTGACTAGAAAAGCTGCCAGAGAGCTATAGGTTTCTTGTTTAATGACACCTCAGTGTACTGGTATTATTGCTAGTATATCATAGTTTAATGAGCACTGGGGTCAAAAGACAATGCCAACATGGCAGATAGTATGCCTTGGAATATATTCATAACACACACCTGCTCAATGGATGAGACGTTCCTCATAAAATAATCTGAAAATACATAATTTTGCATGCAAAGGTAATGCCATAGTTCAATGAGTTCTTAATGGTCCAAAAAATAACAAAATATAATTTTGGTAACACTTTAGTATAGGGACCAATTCTCACTATTAACTAGTTGCTTATTAGCATGCCTGTTATTAACATATTGGCTGTTTATTAGTACTTATTCTGCATGACTATATTCAACATCTCTAATCTTACCCAACACCTAAATTTAACAACTACCTTACTAATTATTAATAAGCAGCAAACTAGGAGTTTATTGAGACAAAAGTTGTAGTTAATGGTTAGCTAATAGCAAGAATTGGACCTTAAAATAAAGTGTGACCATAATTTCTAATATCTTAATTTGATGTTGGCGTGAAATATGTTTTTATATTTACATTGCCAAGGCTGAATTAAAAGATAGGCTATTTTTTTGGGAATATTATTACAATGTTTTCAGTTTGAATATATTTTAAATGTAATTTATTCTTTTGATGCAAAGCTAAATTTTCAGCATCATTACTCCAGTCTTCAGTGTCACATGATCCCTCAGAAATCAGTCTAATTTGTTGATTTGCTGCTCAAGAAACACATTATTATTATTATTATTATTATTATCAATGTTGAAAAAGTTGTGCAGCCCATTATTCAAAGAATCCTGAAAAAAAAATGTTTTCCACAAAAAATAAACTACAAAAGAACAGCATTTACTTGAAACACAAATGATTTGTAACATTATAACATTGTCTTTACTGTCACTTTTGATAAAATGAATGTATCCTTGCTTCATAAAAGCATTAATTTCTTTTAAAATAATGAATAAATAAATAGGGATTCCAACATGTTGAAAGGGAGTACAAATGAGCTGCTCATGTTCTCTCCACTGACAGCGTCACATCCTCGTCCCGTCACTTGAGAGTGTCAGTATGATCATGTGCAAGCATGTCGACTTCCTGTGTGATTTATCATCCCACTTTGATTAGTTTTGAAATTGACATGAAAGCTTTTGCAAGTTGTTGAATCAGACATCTGAGTCAGCACATTGTATAATGCTAAATTGCTATAAGTGTCCTCTCCACACACCTCTAACTTCTTAGTCAAACCTCTGAATTACACCCCTCTGTAAACTTTTCATAATAAGGTTTCATGTCTATGATACATTTTTCACTTGGCTTTATTATATTGAATTGTGTGGCCATTATATCTAATCATATTTTTCTGAACACTCTTGTTAAGTTGTGTACTTTCATGTAAGCTTTTCAACTTTTTCATGTGCAAATTTCCCCAGATGCCCTGAAATAACTCATCAGTCTTTGCTAAAATGATCATGTTTGGCCAACTTCATGTACACAGTGCGCTACAAGCTATTAGCCTTAAAAGCAGTGTTTATAAAACTGAATCCTTTGAGCCAGATGCTTTACCTGTGTCTCGTCTTAAACTGACCACTATCGTTGTTCACACAGTCCATTAAAACATGCTATGTCAACAGTGTCTTTGAGATAAGATGGGCCTCTCACAGGGCTGTAAAATGGTACATTGACCTCATATATTAAAGTTGTGACATTTAGGTGCTTGTTTTTGGGTCGCCCCACACACACCTCTCTGTCATAAAGAAGAGAAAGGGGGGGTGGGCCAGTCGAGGGGTCAGAGATGGCCATTCGTGGATAAGGACCGTAACGAATTAGATAGGAGTGTTTACAAAGCACCGAACAGCCATTATTGAGGCCGGATGGGAAAGGCAAGAGGAAAACAGGGAATGATGGATGAAGATTTATGGGAGTTGTTGAGTGCTGATTTGTGCTTTCTTATATGGCTGGTGTGAACAAATCTGCCACTATATGGCATTAAAGCACTATAAATAGATAACAAAAAATATTCAAGATAAACTCTCGGGTTAGATTGGCTGACATCTCAGGTCTTTAAAGTGGTCCACTCTTAGTTTGAACAAGATGCATCAAGTCACATTGTTTTATTTTGTTTTGTTAAGTTGCCATGGTGTATCTATCTACTGACCGGGTTTTGTTATATAACATCTCTATTTAATGGAAATTTACTGACAGAAGAGGAAAACAAGAAAAGGGGCAAAAGGATGTAGTCGAGCTCACTCAGAGTGTATGTAACACAATCATGCAGAGACCTGTATCGCTTATTAATGGGAATAAAGTACATAGACTCACCCGTGTGTAGGCAGAGGCTTCAGGCTGTCTGGAATCTGAATCTTGCAAAATATGCAGCATATTTGGGTCATACAGTACTCTCCAAAATGAAAAAGAAAAAATATTGGTAACACTTTATTTTAAGGTGTCCCTGTTACACGTTACATATACTTACTATTATATTAACAATTAATTATGCATAATTACATGCAAGTAACCCTAAGCCAAACCCTATTCCTAACCCTAACCATATAGTAAGTACATGTAGTTAATTAATATTACTCAGTACTTAAATGTATACTTACACTGTAACAAGGGAACCTTAAAATAAAGTGTAACCAAAATATTTTATATAATGTTATACATAAAAAAATTATTTATACAAGGATATCGCATTACAATTAAGAACCTTTCTCAAACAATTTTCAAGACTGTAATGCAAAAGTAAATATATTTTTTAATTTTATTTTTAACAGTTTGTTAGTATTTGTTTTATTAAATAATATTTTTTATTTATGCTGATTAAACATGTTGCAATTGTAGTATTTTTCTAATCATGTAGTCAAAATTGCAGTAATTAGAGTCTAAATTGAAAATAACAGAATTACAAAAAAAAAGAAAAAAGTCAAACATCTGTAGAGGCATTATCACAATTAGATGTTTTTGGTTAAAATGAAAATGCTACTATATATATATGGAAAGTTACTTTTGAAAGTAATGCATTACAACATTGCGTTACACCATGAAAAGTAACTAATTTCATTACTTAGTTACTTTTTATGGAAAGTAATGCATTACGTTACTTTCACATTACTTTTTTGTCACTTGGGCTGGACTCGCTTAGTATTTATTTTTGAAAAACCCAAAAGTTATATTTTTGGCAACTGTAAAGACCCTTTCACACCATAAGTGAAATTATTAAGCGTCAGGCTGAAGGAAGTGCCTCAGCACATTACTCCCAATTTCTGTCAACAGAGTGATGGGAGGGGTGTCAGTGAATAAATATGAAAACAAAGTAACTTGCATTACTTATTTGAAAAAGTAACTCATATTTTGTTGTAAATTTATAGGTAATGCATTACTTTAGTAGTTACTTGAAAAAGTGATTACTTTTTTCAGTAATCTGATCTGATTACACTGTGTGTGTGTGTGTGTGTGTGTGTGTGTGTGTGTGTTAGTGCTGTCAAAATTAGTGTGTTAACGCAATTTTCCAGTTTAATGGCGTTAAAAATATATAACTCAGTTAATGCAGGGGCAGGGCTGGGGTTGGCCACCCCACTTACTACAACTGCTTCTGTCTCTTTTATTCTTGACAAAAATTGCGTTTATTTAGACGCGCAGAATGTCTTGACGACCACGTCAAATGGGAGACGTTTCAGACGCGCACTCCGCTTCGCCTTAACGCCAGGTGCAAGTCAAACGAGCATGGAAAACGGTACAGGTGACGAGGAGCTTCAGTACAACAACAGTGAACAGATCTCATATGAGATATTTTCAGGACATATGTCAGTAAAAACGAAATGTTCTGTCCTGTCTGCCGTTATACTGTGCTTGTAACACGTGCTCTTCAATTACACGCACAAATGCACCGACGTGCTGTATATCATTTCATATTAAAGAGCAATTATATATAAAAGGTTATGAGAAAACACGATGCGTGTCAGATCCACGTCACATTTAGCAGCAGCAGCAGCTCTTAAAAAAATAGTAGCCAATAAACCTAACGCAGCTGCTGTGATGTCTGTTAATCAAAAAACAAAAGAAAAAAGAGGAAATCAGTAACTTTTGAAGCTTTAAGGATTCATCTATATTTAACTTAGAATTTAGTGTTTGATAACTTTATTCAATTTCTGTGTATTTCTTACTTGTTGAAGGGCACAGGTAGCTGCATATGACATTTATTATAATGGGTTTTATGTGAAGATTGTTTTAGGTTAAAGGGGTCATATGATGCGATTTCAATTTTTCCTTTCTCTTTGGAGTGTTACAAGCTCTTGGTGCATAAAAAAGATCTGTAAAGTTGCAAAGACTAAAGTCTCAAATAAACACATTTCATTACACCAAATACACAAAATAATGTTCTTTTTAGCAGCATCATATGGCCCCTTTAAAATAAAAGTTATTTTTGAATGTCTAATAAATGTTAAAATTGATAGCTCTCATTTACACTGTAATGTTGAATGGCTATAATCAATGGTCAGTTTCATAGAGACATCAGTATTGTTGGTATCAGTGATACTCACCTTAAGTAATAAAAAAAAGGTGCCACTGAACAGATATTAAAAATATACTGTCTTTATGTTGTTTGCACATTAATTTGAAGATTGAATGTGAAATTATTGCCATATAAAAGTATATTTAAAAACGTTCATGTTAGGTGGTTAAACCGCATAAACACATTTCATTACACCAAATACACAAAATAATGTTCTTTTTAGCAGCATCATATGGCCCCTTTAAAATAAAAGTTATTTTTGAATGTCTAATAAATGTTAAAATTGATAGCT